TGTATTGTAGTTGTATTGTACCAAAACATTTGCACTTTGTACACAATTTGCCTTAATTGGAGTAGAATATTAAAGTTTCTTAGCATCAGATCCTCTACTTCCTCTCTTTTTCCAGTGAGCAGTGTGCACTTGTTGTGCCAGCAGTGGCAGAGCCCCACCAACAACATTGACTGTCTTCCTTATGTTACAAGTCCTACAGAATAAATTCATTCCAAATGAGTCATTTCGATTAGAGACTGTGACGGGGGGGGGGGGGGGGTATCAGGACAGAAGGCTGACAGGAAGCCTCTTCTTCTGCAGCTCTCTGATTCACACTCTCTCGCCTTCTCTACATCCCTGCGTCTCGCTGCCTGTGCATTAATATTTCATTTCCTCCTCCTCTCATCATGTTATACACAGATATCTTCAGACGTCTAAAGCCAGCTCCATCCGCAGCTCTGAGATTTCACAGGACTGGAGGAGCTTTGCCACTCACAGCGAGAACATTATAGAAATATATTTCTATCTATAGAAGCAAGCCTGTCTGCAACTGTGGCAGTATTGTGTGTGTTTATTTCTGGAAAGTCATTTCTGTGGCAGCCTCTGGCAGGGAGAAGATAAGGCCCCAATTTGTTTTCATCCCTTACTCTGTTTTCCCTTCTCTCCCTCCACCTGCTCATTTCCACACACTCCACATGCTGGGAACTGTAGGCTACCCACTAATAATACTCTACCAGCCACAGCATATCATGGATGATTTCATTAAACATTACTGCAACAGTTATGGAAATGCAGACCCCTCTTTAGTCCCTAACATTACAAATAGACTATAAGGAGATATCCAGGACAATCGTTTAACTTGAAATATTTCCATGTTCACTGCCACAGCCCTAATCATTTTATACATTTTAAGTGATGTCATATTTCTTGCTCTAAGGCAGTTATTAGGAAAGTTGCACCTAATGTACAACATGTTTTTAAAGAGCTACTTTTCAGGTTTATATCAGTATGTACAGTAGTGTCTCTACTGTGACATGTCTCCATGCTTTAATGTTCAAAAAGCCCCTCTTTTCACCCTCTGTCTGAAACCAGAGCCCAGTCTGCTCTGATTGGTTAGCTGGCCGGCTCTGTTGTGATTGGTCAACCACTTAGCCTATCATGTACCATTTGTTGGAGCGCTAGCCAATAGAAACCCAAAGAGCATAATAGGGCCTCTTTAATGAATATCTGTGGCTATGGATATTTTGTGCAGAACTACCACTGTACTACTCTTGTTGGAATGTTACTATGGCTACAGCTGTAATGATAAAACATCATCGTTACCACAGCTTACAATGTAGTACTTCTATAGTGTTAACCATGGTAATAGTACTACAGTACTACAATACGTGAAAAACCACCACCGTTGTATTAATTCAAACAGTTACCATGGTTACCTCTTTCATTCACACAGGATGAGACTGTTCCCTGGGCTATCGCTGCATTACTGATGCAGAAAGGCGTAATTCATTTACTGTATCAGACCATCAACCTCCTCTATGTAATGCTTTCAGACCTCATAAAACACACGTACAAATACACACTCACACACAGTGGTGTCAGTGTGTGGAGCTGATATGATTGATGAAGTATTTTAAAGTAAGATGATCCCACTCAGCGGATAATGGCTTATGGCATATGGGCTTCTTCCACTCTCACTCAAACAAACACACACATACACTAGCGCACACACACATACTGTACACACTTTGCTGTAATTGTGAGGACCGTGATCCCACAGCATGTTGTGAGGACGTACATAAACACACTCACAACCCGACATAATTCAGTGCAGTAGTGACTTTTAGCGCCATGTATTATTTTGATCTAAAATATATACTTTAAGTTATAGTTGAACATATGATTTATAATGATTTAATTTATTGATATATATTATTTAGAAGTGTTAAGCTATTTATGTAAATATATTTAGATGATAGACACCTTTTTTGTGAATTAGCGATCAACCTGTTTTGTGTGAGTGTGACTTTTAAATAGACAGGTGTCCTCGAGTTAGTTGGTGAGAAAACTACAGTTTTCCATCCATACTATTGGTTGAATTATTATATGCACAACTATACACATTATTTGACACATTCTTTTTACAATAGATTGCATTTACTAATTAAAGGTGGGGTATGTAATTTATTTCAGAAACACTTTTTGTTATATTCCATGGAATGCTCTTAACATCCCGATAGCAATGAATATATTAAATGCTTTGACAATAAATACATAACATTTTTTAATCTGTGGAAGCCGTGGCGCTGTAAAAAGCACGACCAATCATTTTAGCCGGCCCGGCTAAAATAACTGGATGGCCTACCTGCCTGTCAGTCTCCCATCTGTGCACAAACTTATCTCGTGCCCTCATTGGTCATGTGTGCGTTCGTGTGTGTTGGAGGAGGGGCTCTGTAAGGAAGTGGCAGATTTTTTCTGGTTGTGTATTTTCAAATTCTAGCGCACTCGAGCTGGTTTCTCCAAAATTACCTACCCTACCTTTAAGTAATATTTTGAGTTAACCAGAGTTTATTGTTAAATAAATCATTTTCTTGGCTATATTAAACAACTTCTCCATCCGTGCTTTTTGGGAAATGTGTGTCGGAAGTTAAAACTACAATAAGCCACTTCAAGTGACCCTCTATCTTGCTAAGACTAAAATAATTGATGGTTCTAAATCTAGCACAACCTGTTCACTCTATCAGTGTCTTCCTGTAGCCTGAACATCCCAAACCAAGAGAGAACAGCCTGCGCCTGAACTCTATCAGCTGTTAGAGTGTCTATCTTCACGTGGACGTGTCGTATAAACAGGATTACACTTCGGGGGTGAAAGATTACCTGATTGGGTGAGTAGATTTTTAGTTGGCCAACTCATGCCCTAATCCTCACTAATGACGTGCAGGCTAATGCACACTGGAGATTAAATGACCCCATTTCTCCTAATGCAACATGTGTGAGTGTGTTTAAGAAATGGATTTGATGAACTCCTGAAACGTTCGTCTCTGGTATGAGTCTTGGGTTAGCAAATTAAATAAATCACCCTGCTTTACACAATGTTAAAACATATATAATGTATTTCTTCTTGTTCTCTCAGTCCTCTTTGTATTAAATATCTCACTTTCCCTAGCTCTCTTCCTCTCCTTCCCTCTCCCTGACCACTGAGTTAATCTTATTAAACTAGCAGCTGTGATTCTGTGGCAACAATAGCGCCTTGCTAATCAGGAGATTAGCATCATTACATCATGAATTATGCAAAATACAGACACAGCAAGAGAGGGAGCACTCTCCCACAACAGAGTGTCAGTATACAAAACAATTATCACACAGATAATACATAATAGCATGTGCACTTATTCAGCTAGATATGAACTCTAGGCCTGTCGCGATAATCAATAAATTGACTTATCGTACGATAAATAAAAATGGACTCGATAACTTTTCTGAGCTCGATAAATTGCCGTTTACATGTGTGTTTGTTTACATAAGGATGTGACCAGAATTTTAACCCGGCACGCTGTGAGGGGCGGGGCTCACACACAGCCAAGTCAGGAAACTCTGCGTGCAACAGTGTCGCAACCAAATTAATAAAATAGAGACAAGCAGGAGACAACGTGTGACTTACTCGAGGGGAATTTGAAGTTAAATGGAAGTGGTTGCAAAACCTAATACCACATCTCCGGTGTGGGAATATTTTGGATTCAAATCAACGAGGCGAACCTACGGACTTGAATGAGCCGGGCGGTGTGTCGCATTTGTTTAAAAAAGGTAGCAACAAAAGCTAGCAATACGACCAACCTTAAACTGCATCTGAAACACAACCACCCCATTCCGTTTTCCCAGCTGGGAGCAAACACGGCAGCTGGAGATGGAGAGCCCCCACCTTCCCTACAGTTTACAATCAAAGATACATTTGCCTGACAATGCAAACATGTTGGTGTTCCTTGCTCGAAATCTTTGAAATACAGATTTGGATATGGCCTGTTGAGGCCTCTGGGTCTTTGTATGGACAGTGGACTTGACTGCTATTTTAAGGAGGTTTTTTTTGCTTGTGAGACAATGTGTGCTCATATATATATGAGAGAGAGCTCTGTTTTCCAGCCTGAGTCTATTTAATTGATTGTTTTGGTTGTGTGTGATTTAATTAATTTTGTATTATTTAATTTGTTTTATTTATTATATATAATTTATATATTTGAATATTATTTCACATTTAATTTGCAATGTTGGATGTTCAATAAAAAGTTCTGTTTGAAAGGATGTACTTGAATTATTATTATATATTATCATTAAGTCAGTGGTCTAAAATGGTCTTACAACGTTGCCGACAATATTATCGTTTATCGCAATAATTTCCGGGAAAATGTATCGTCCAACAAAATTAATTATCGTGACAGGCCTAATGAACTCTTTATCTAATCCAACGCACAGTATGTCAAAGTATTAAATAATATGTTCAGCTGACATTATGATTATGAGACAGTTTAAAACTACCTTAACGTCTCTGCCTCCATGTGAATAAGATACAGAGGGTAGCATCAGTACTACCAGGAGAGAATTAAGTCCCGGGAGAGTAGGGATTTATACCTCTGACACACGGTGAAATAATCTGAAGTGATGTGTTTGCAATGTGTAAAAGAGTCTCTTTTCAATCGCTCTTTGCTTCCCTAGACAGCTGTGTCTAATGAAGTGGAAGAAACATCACACAACATGGCCTACCAAGAGGAAGAACTACATGAAAACAGAAATGAGAAGCAGGCAGGCGGAGAATCTTCAGGTGGTGCTGTGTATAAAGAATAAAACATGTTTGATGTGGAGAACAAGGACCTTCCCTGCAGCTGTGCAAAACCCCTGGCTCTCACACATCTAAAACAATACTCATCTATTTTCAGAGAGCTCCAGTGAGTGGTTAATACAAAGAGATGCCCGGGTTCTGATTCATATCTTTTCCATGTCCTCCCTCAGTCCCTCCCTAATGGTCTTACCTCTCTTGGTTATGATGATGCGGAGCAGCGGGTTGGCTAACGACACAGCTTTGTAGAAGTTGTCGTCATTGTTGATTGGAAGGAGGTCTCCTTGGACGTCGGCATATCCCAGCAGCACGTCCACACCAGGGATGCGGTGGATGGTTTGGAGGAGGCGGTAAAACGCTGTAAAGCCACCCGGGCCGTTCCTCTTCAGAGCGAAGCGACGGTACTCTGCTTCAAACTGAGGAAGAGAACAAACACAAACATCAGATGGTGTTTTCCCCTCAGCAGTTTCTCAGTTTAGGAGATGATCAACGTGTAATTTAATACACAGACAGCTGAGACAAAAGAGATACCATCGCCGTTTAAAGTAAACATACTGATCTAAATGTGTATCTCGCAGCTACCAGGACGGAAAAACTGTCAGATACATACTTTCAGATGACTTTTTAGTAATGAAGTGTGGCAGAAATGAGTCCTTAGACCCGAAAATATGTTAGCATTTTACCACTTTCTGTTCCCACCTCTCAAGGTCAAAAGTGTTTTTTAAATGTTTCTGGCTAGATGCCTGAAAATGTGGTTTACACAAACTGAAGAGCTTTTAACATCTGGTCTACGATATAAAATATGTCAGTAAATACACCACTAGTGAATGTCTGAAGCTTTTATGTGTCGTAAAAGCGGCTGTTGCTGCTAAATAAGATGCTAAATAACACTACTAAATGTCATCACACCTAACATTAGCCACCTTTACCTTAGCAGTGGTCATGCGGATGTAGTTTATAGCCTAATGTTAGCTTTTTCTTCTTCTGGTGATTACATTTACGCTTAAAAAATCATAAAAGTGGCGTTTATATGTGGAAATGATGCCAATAAATGCCACAGATGTTATTTTCTGCAAAATTACAAAACCCAATGAGAAATCCCATTGGATGTTTTTCAAGAGAGCCCTTTCGATGCTTACTTCCAGGTCGGCCTACAAAAATACATCATCCCTACGTCACTCTTCATCATGTGTGGAAGTGTTATCATGTATCCCAGCTCAGAGAAGCATTCTGGGATGACAAAGACAACTCTCACTTGGCGTCAAACACCTGCTTTCAGGCTCTGACTCACACCGTCTAAACACATCACATGCCAAATAAGAGAAAGCCAAAAAAAAGCCACGCCAAGATGAAATATTTAACTAGGATCACTTTATCCAAATAACTGTTTTTTTTTATATTGATACGCAGAGACAGCACCTTCTATTTTCAATGGGATTATTTTCTACCTCACAGCGCGCCTGGTCGGCAGACACAGCGCACCGCGCCGGTAGAGTGGCCGGTCACATCTTTATGTAAACAAACACGCATGTAAACGGCAATTTATCGAGGTCAGAAAAGTTATCGAGTTCATTTTTATTTATCGTACGATAAGTCAATGAATTGCTTATCGCGACAGGCCTACCAATAGGCGCTTTCACACCGGAGTACTTTTACCAGGAATAGTTCCGATAGTTCTTGGGATTTTGCTTTCACACCAAAAAGATCTGGAACTAGAACCTAGTTCCTGCGAACCTTTTCACCCCTTTTCAGTCCCTGCTAGAGAGGTGGTACTTTCCTGGGGAGGAAAAGGTTCCAATTTGTGATTGGCTGGGCGAATTGCAAACCACGCCTCGTAACACTCCGAAAAGTTTTGTGAAGCCGCCATTTTATTTGGCAACACAAAATAAAATATGGGAGCGGTGGAGTGATGAGGAGGTGTCGGCGCTTCAGCCAATTTACCCGGGACTTCGGGTGGCAGTATACGCCGTGTTGTTTGCGGCCTGCCAGTAAACCCAAAAGCAGAAGAAGAAGTGACGTTAGCGGCTTCCTTTGCGTAATCCTCCCTCAGGGACTTATTCTGGTGTGAACGCGATTTACTAGGACTAAGTACTGGGAACTAAGTATGGCAAAGTACTTGGTGTGAAAGCGGCTATTGTGTTATTTTTAACCAAATATCTCTCAGAGGGCGTGGGGAGTGGCTCCTTATTTTCATCTAAAGTAACAGACAGAGAATCAGCACTTTTGAAACAGGGCTGAAACAGAGGGGTTTAAGGGATGCTACAATGCACAATCTGTTTGGTATTTCGAGTCAAACACAGAGACATGTTTTGTATATATCTGAGACCTATAATAAAGTAATGAAAAACAGTATAATAGGGGACCTTTAAATGTCATGGATCTGTTACCTGACGCCAAGCCACTGAACCTTTACCACCTTTTACACCGTCATGTTTGGTGGTAAACATTCTGCTTGGGTGAAATGCTGGGCACATAAGCGACAAGGTGTCTGCAAAGTCATCATGAAAAGTGTCAGGTTGATATGCTTTTTTCTACACCGTTATAATCGATAATCAGTTGCACAGTATGCATAGTTTATATTCCTGTCTGATATATAGAGGAGGGCCGGGTGGTACGGTTAATACCCAAGCCCACCTGATCCATGATTATTTGGGGACCAACTTCCGTCATGTCCCTTGGTTTTAACACAACTTTAGTGAATGACTATAATAAAATCCCTTACCTTAAAGTAAGCATAGTCTGAATCAGGCGTATTTTTGTAGGCCAACCCGGAAGTTAGCATCGCATGATGAAATGCAGTGGTATTATTCCATTGGATTTTTCAATTTTGCAGATAATGAGATATTTGGCAAACAAGTTAAGGACAATCACTTTTATAATAGTTGAGTTGTAAATGCAATCAGAAGGAGTAAAAAGCGAATGTTAAGTTAGTCACGTCGCCACCGCTAAGCTAAAGTCAGCTAATGTTTGGCGTGATGATGTTTAGTAGTCTCATTTAGATACTTGTTAGCAACCGCTGTTTTTATGACACATAGAGGCTTCAGATATCCCCAGTGGGGTATTTACTGACATATTTTATGTTTAACAAGAAAAAGGTGGAACACTCTTAAAGTTAAGCGTCATGTTGCGTCATGTTGCGTCATGCCCCCGGTACCGGGGGCATGACGCAAAATCTTGCAAGAAACAGCGTCTGAGGGCTTCTTAAGATTTAACAAACTATGAATGTGTCATATCCACTTAACGGGAAGAAACTCAGCTATCAGACAATATTAACAATTTTTAGCTAAACAAAACACAAGGATAATAACAAAGGCTCTGAATTAGCCCTGAGCGAAAAAATGCTAACGCACTTAGCACAGAACTCACGTTAAAATACCCTTATTACTTATCGGCTCTGTACAAACAAGATATCGATTAGCAAACTGAGATTCCACAGATTCCAGAAATATAAGTATCATCACTGAGCGGCCAGAACTCGCGGCATGGGAAACAAAACCAGACATCACACAACGTAGCTTTAGGTAGCAAACACGGGACATTGTCCTTTTTTTGCTGTTTCTGATCAAAAGTTGTGTTCAATGGCATTAAAACGATAAAAACGCTGCTGAAGGTTAATCCATAGGTTAATCCAATGTGTCTGTGTCACTTTTAAATGATTACTGATAATCCATCTTCATATTTATGTAAATAACGGAGATTTCATATTAGCTGCTACCAGAGTGTATGACAGCTTCCGGTTTTGGGTATTCTGGCTACGCATCACTCATTCACCAATGGGTAATGTTTAGATGGATTTTAGGAACTTTCCCTCGATTCTATTGGCTCTAACGGTTAAAAAGAGGTGTCAATCATCAAAATCGACCGAGAGGGGCCAGAGATAGGTCAAATCCACCCAAATGACCCCAGAAGTGGTTTTTCTTTTCTAAATCTCTCTAAAAAGGTCAAATGTCACTTGTTTTGCATCAATCTTGATACAGGGTACTTATTATATGTGACCCGCTCTATCGAAATCAGTCGGAAGTCGCAACGGCTCATTTCAAAATAAATGTGGATTTGTGTAAAAAAATTGTTTTTCGGGGTTCGGGTGTTTTGTTTGATTTTAAATAAACAAAGTCTTGGCTTTCAGAATATGAAACTTTTATTTCCAAAATCACACGATAAATACATTTTTGAAGCTTGTAAAGGGAAGATTACAGCTCTCACTCGCCACTCTGCTGTTCCGCAACGCTGCTTCCCCTCCCTCCGGCTGAAATGTTGTTGTTTTTACATTGTTTTACATTGCCAATTTTGTTTGTTGACTTGTGAAGCCCTCTGAGACAAATAGGATTTGTGATTTTGGGCTATATAAATAAACTATATAAATAAACTTACAGAGAAAAATTATGAATGTAAGGCGTATAGTAATCATAGATAACACGGCAGGGTCCGTTACAGTTTGTTTTCATCTGATTTCAATTAAACAAAGTCTTGGCTTTCAGAATATTAAACTTGTTTCGGCAAATTCAGATGATAAATACAACTTTGAAGCTTGTAACGGCATAATTACAAGCGGAGAACGGAGTAACTTGACGTCACAGCAGGCATAACAACAGCCGGTGTTTCTCGTGAGTGTTTTCCCCGGGAAACAAACACAATGCACACAAACGCAAAATTACACAAACACACACACACACATACACACACACACTCACGAGCTTCCCCCAGACCAGTAATCCAAACGAAAATATCTTCCCTCCGTAGCATTTTGATCATTTGCTCCGCTAATAATCAATCAGATCGATGGATTCCAGAGAAGAGGAAACTTTAAAGGCCTTTTTCTCAAAATGATGACTCGGTGACAGTCATTATATAATGTGACATATTTTGCTTAATATTTGGAGTACAAAAACAATCCTGATATCATTAGAAAGCTAGGAATCTCCTCTTTCCAACAGTGTATACAACTCCAAATGTGTCTTCGGGTCAATGCGACTGATTTCGATGGAGCAAGTCACATATGTTATAGTTTGGATTCCTAAAGCTTTTAGTCTACTATCCCATCATTCAAGGGTGGTTTTCACTATACATTAAGTAATGTTTTTATTTTGGACGGACACTATAATTTACATTTTTTTACTATGTTCAATCGGAATTTACTTTAAAATTAAAAACTTCTATATTGATTCTGACTGGTCTACATCCAACTCACAGGTTTATCATTGCTTTGAGAAAAAAGATTATTAATTTACCCCTTTTAGAAGTGAAGTTATAGTCATTTGTTCTGGGAATGTAATTTTCGAGCCTGAGGCCTGAAAAACAGGCTTGTGGCTCAACTGGTTAAGCTTGTGTTAACCACAGACCTTATTTCAGGCATCTAAAAAACATTGACTTTGAGACGTGTGAATAGGAAGTGGTAAAATGCTAACTCATTTCCAGGTTTTAGGACTCATTCCTGCACCACTCTATTAGGAAAATGTTTGAACTCTGGTCAGGTTGGACCTGTTTTCAGCTCATCTTGGTGAATTTGGAAAGCATCTGTGACAGCTGTTAACAAGCTGGTTTGTCCTTCCAGGTGGTGAAATGTCTATTGTTCTGTGGAGCTAGCTGGACACATGTATAGCCTACAATTGACATGAAATTGTGTTTCACAATTTACTATGCCTCATGACAGATTCATTCTTGTGCACAATTCTTTCAAAAAAGTACAAGGCCTTGTTTAAGGTATTTTCTGAATATTGAAGTACACAGCTCCATTCTAAACTTCTTTTCTAAATCTCTAAACATCCGTTTTTTGACACTTTTTCTTAAAATGAAAAGTGAAGCATAGCGTTTAGTGATTGAAGTAGAGAGAGACCTTTGGGGACCAATCCAATGATGTGATGTTAGAGCAAATAAATGCTCATCATTGTTTGACAAGGTGTGATTGTACCACAAAGGAAATATGTTTTTTAGGGTTGGGAGATTGAAACTGGCAATCGAAACAGTGGGAATACTTTTGTCTAGCTCAATGCATAATGATAGGTTAATATATTTATGTAAATTCAATGAAAACCTGTGTTCTATGAACTGCTGCCACAGCAAGATACTGTTAGAAAAGGTTGCAACACAAATGGGCTTGCCAAAGTATTCACCAAAATAGTCACCACTTAACTCCACTTGAGAGAAACAAGTAAAACAACATCTTTACATGTAAGTATAAAGGATTTACTGACAAGCAATGACAATGATGTAGTGGGCTGCATTTGATCCTGTAACATTGTATAATATCAATTTAAGCTTATAAACGTAATAGAGTAGCCTGCAAAAATGAATTATGCTTAACACTGAAATCTGCTCCAGTTACTTTAATTTATCTTTCATTAAAGGAACTCCTAGCTGTTAATGTAATGTACTGTATACATTTCTTTGTCAATACTTTTTCTGATAAAGATGCAGGAAAATCAAGTGACAAAAGAGAGAGAGACACTGAGACAAAGTTATCTTATTGTTTTGTAAGTATTCAAATTTATATTTTTGTGTATGAGATTATCAACAGATAGGCAGGGTATTAAAGATGTCATTACGGACTTTGAGTGAACGTTTGTCCCATGCATAGTGAATTGGTACTGAGAAAGTTATTCCCTTCTCACCCTAAAATCTTTCCCTCAGATGGTGATAAAGCAAGTATTGACAATCTGAATCAGATCAGTGATTTGTTTTCATTATTTCAGTAAAGTCTATACATATGCAGCTGTGATCCTTTAGAAGAGATCGAGCACAGGTCAGGAGAAACTCACAGCTTCACTACAGTACCACTTCCGGTTTCAGCCATGGCACATGTCAACAACACACTGTGTAAATATCAATGACAGAGAAAGGATCTACTCTCCCTACAAGAGAGCAGCACTGCTCCACGAATCATTCTCACACAGTCTAGTCACACAACTAGTCATACAGGTTGTCTCTCAACACTTTTCTTCAGCAAACATGTACATGCTCCTTACTGTAAGAAACTGTTAACAAAACAATTGCAGCACTCCGTAAGGGCCCTAAAGCTGCAAAACAATACATATTCTGAACATTATTAGGGGGGGCTCAAATGAGGATCCTCCTTCAGCTTTTATTTTTCACCCCAGAAATGTCAAAGTTGTTATGAAGCTATATTTAACATTCAGATTTGGAGCGTTCAAAATGCCTGTTAAGTTATATCCAAAAAATAAAAAGTAAAAGGACTATACTCCATACCTACAAATACTGCATATTTGTTGACCATATGTATTCTCGCTCCTAAGTCATTGAAATATTTGACTCGAAACTTTAAGTAGGCTCGCTGTGAAGAAGGCTTCTTTTCACAGTGCTACATTATTAAGGCATTTGTATGTAATAGGTATTTTGATGCTGTCATTGCTCTAAGTACAAGTCTTTACAAGAGGAACATACTGTCTTATTGTTTGGACACAATGTCTGTGCTGTCTTTGGTCGAGACTCTATGGAATTTCAAGCACAGAAATCAAGCAAAGAAATACAATTACTACCGTATAATATTAAAATAAAGATCCTCAATATACTGATATGTTTTGCTTGTAGTGATTTTAGTGTTTATTATCATGACATAGTATGAAAATCAAAACTATTTGGCACAGTACTATCAGCACAGTGCTCTGTCTGTAATAATACAAATATACAGCTGTCAGATGTCCTCAATAAGTGGACAAATTAGTCAATACTAACAGAAATAAGCCTAATCGAATAACATAGGCTACCACTCATTTCTATTGTATACAATTTCGTTTGTATTTTTTTGGTGCACATTTCTGTTAATTTCTGTTCTGGTACATAGCATATATTGTATTTTTCCTTATAACTTGTTGTAATATTGTTTTATTTTGTTTTGCTGCATACTTTTTGTTTATGTGTATGTCTTGTTAACATGTATTTTTATTTGTATATCTATGTTTTCTAAATAGTTGTTATAATAGCTTTATTTGAACCTTTCTTTAAATTAATCCCTTTTACTGTATTTGTGTGCTTGGAATGAATGCCTTGCCTTATGTATGCACCATTACACACCAAAGCAAATTCCTTTTATGTGTAAACCTACTTTACAATAAACCTGATAAGGATTCTGATCTTCCAACAACATATACTACTACTAATTGAGGTTACTGCGTATCCTTGAGTCTGTTACAGAGCAGTAATTGGATGGAAGTGTAAGGAGTGGACAGAGAGGGAAACAGCAGAGAGAGGAACAGATTGTGGAGGCTGAGTAGCAGAGTCAGTGTTTTGACACCGGGGGGGAAGACAGAATAGATGCGGAATAAAGTAGCAGCGGCCCGGGGTCGGGTAGCCTAAGCCCCCCATAGCTTCTCCATAATAGAATATCCCCCTGAATTAGCAGTGTGAAACGGTTACACGTAGTGTCGGTTCGTGTGTTGGAGAGAGTGCGGAGGGGGGAGACATCACGTCGCCCTATGTTATTTGAACGACAGCGGAAGGTTATCTGTGTTGTCAGTGCACCGTCAGCGAGCGCAGTATCCTCTCATCAACGCTGTAATGAAGAGTCCCCATTAGCCCACCACTCACTTTGCTCTTGACCTCCACTACGTTGTCAGTGAGTCTTAACGTCGTCCGGTGCTGCTGCTGCAGCTGCTGCTGCTGCTGCTGCTGGTGTCTTGACATTCTGCTCCCCGGTTGGCTGCTCGGCTGGGGCACTGCGGATAAAAACATCCACCGGAATTACGGTCGACGTATCCTCCTCTGTCCTTGGGAACAATTCAAAACATGAAGCAGGCGAAGGGAGCCGAAGCGGTCATTTCACCTGTCGGTTAATTTTTCCTGCTTTCCCAAAAAAATAAACAAGAGCCAGGTCTCGCGCCAGTGTCTCGTGCCGTCATGTGTCACAGCTTCACAGCGCGCGCGGTTATGACTCGGTTACGACACGAACAGGGAAAAAAACACAGCGCTCGCGACAGGTGGAGTCCGGTAAATCCGGTATGGGATGTGAGGTACCGGTGTAACCCGTCCCCCTCTCCTCCTCCTCTCCTCCTCCTCTCCTCCCCCTCCAGACTGACGACACGGAGGACACAGCGGAGGGGGCGGGACATGACGACATTACAGCTGGCAGGGGGGTATCGCAAGCCGATTGAGCTTTTATTCATTTCTGGAGGATATCAAAAAATCAATTCTTACTAGTAAGAATGCGAGTTCTTGATGTCACAATACAGACAAAAAAGTTAAAAGGTGTTATTCTATGATAAAATATTGATCCATGTACAGAGTTTCAAACCTCAAAGATTGAAGTTCATAATTGAAGTAATGCTCCCTTTTGTTATTGTTTTTAGGTCAGTGTGTTATAAGTGACGATGTATGCTTTCTGAGAGAGAATGTGCTTATTTTGAGACATTTATAAAGCTATTTGGAAGTGTTACGTTTTGGAGGTGAGATTAACTGTTAACCCAGGATGCATTTTGGTAAAGCAGACTGTATTGACACTAATGCAACAATAGAGACAAGGGCTTGTTGGCAATTTAAAAAGAAACAGTAAAGAACACCATTAGGCTACAAAATAAAAGGACCTCTATACTGTCAACAGATGCCCCTTGAAATGTATTGAAGTAGCCTACAACACGAACACACAGAACTTTGTTGCAATAATGACAGTAAGTGTAATTCTTTACTTACTCCGCTGCCTATTCATAATAATGAACAGAAGTAGCAACAACTTCTTGTAAGCAAATTCAACAAATATGCTTTGTTACTTGTTTGTTTGATGTAGCATTTTGGTTTTGATTTTGATGTTTCACCATAAAATGTATATTTTCTTGTGTCAAAAATCGCCCAAAATAACTCTGCCAAATATGTACAGTAGGTGCATTCCTTGTGTTTTACATGAAAAAGCTTATGTTTAAAGCATTTTCATCAATTGTTTTTCATGTGTGTGTCATTTACATCAACAGCCAACTGCACCCAGCTGTCCCCCTTATTGCATATTGTAATGTCTAATCCTGTAAAAGTTAACACACAGTTCAGTAATGAAGAGAATGGAATTTGCATTTTAAAGCACTTCAGGATTGGTTTCATGTAAACAGGGCACCTGATCCGTCTTGTCAGAGAGTTTCAGCTGGGTTAAAAGATGTTAACAGTTGGGGAAAAAAATCTATTCTGTATGTAATATTGCACTATGCAAATGAACTTTTCTTGAACGGCATGGCATTCTAGGAGAACAGCCTCGTGCAGCTATGAGGTTCAGGATAATCTTTTGGGGAAAATTGGGTGCAAAGGTCTTGACCTCAGTGTCTTCCAACATGGCTGCACAGACACAATGGGACCAAAACCGCAGTTAACCTTGCTCCAGGAAGCGACACACATCACCTGGCTGTAGCTAGGGTAGGGTAAGGGTTTGAGTAAGGGTTAGAAACTGTTACTACATCACTTTACCAAAAACCACAAATGAAACACCAACCCTAACCCTAATACTCACAAATAAGTTAAAGTGGACAGTAAGGGATCTTTAGGTTAACTGCTTCTAACCGCATGTGTCCGTTCTTTATGCTAAGGTAGGCTAACAATGTCCTTAACTTCATACTTCACTAGCAAGGACCGTGCCACAACAGTATGATGTTTGTAGATTTAGGCCCAATCCCAAACCACGCCCTACACCCTACCCCTACACACTCCCCCTCCGTGACGGAGTGAACTCCGTGGAGGGACACTCGCAGCTCAACGAGGCTCCCTCCTGTCAGATGGAGGGAGTAAATACAGCGGCAAGCTTTGGGACAAACTCCCCTCTCTCCGGCAGAAACAGGAAATGCCGTAACTGTATGTAACAACGGTTTCAAATCAGCATCTCTTTGACAAAAAATTAAAATTAATAACTAAAATAAAACTCCAAACATCTTTAATTGTGTTACTTTTTTGTAAAGCTCTTTTAGTTTTAAACCTGATTTTTATAAGCTTCTTAGTTTTTGCAACAATCTGTAAATATACACAACTTTATAATAAAATGCACACATTTACCTTTTTCTAGACTAAACACAGGTATGATCCTAAGTAAAAACAAATATGAGGTTATCATGAGGTTGTTAACATCGCAGTTTATCAGTGGATGTTTGCTGGAACTACTTTTTAACAGCGTATTTCCTGACGGACACACACAGCGTTGAGACCGGTCAGGTAGAGACCGGTCTCCAGTCAGCACCGCTGCAGACTCGCTGTTTGATGGCTTGATAACACACTCCCCCTCCACACCGCTCCACACTCGTTGGTTTGGAACAGCACTTAATGTGGCGGACCCTCCGCGCAAACGGAGGGGTAGTGTGTAGGGGTAGGGTGTAGGGCGTGGTTTGGGATTGGGCCTTAATGAAGGAAGTAACAATGAATTGATATGGAAGGGGTGATGAAAAGATGATGGCGAATGACATGTCAACTGTCTGGTCTGGGAGGACGTGCTATGGTCCGGGCAGAGGTACAGTAGACTCAGAGTGGGGCTTCTGTCTCCGGGAAGGATTCCACTCTGGCTGATTACGGACCCCCATACGGTTCCTAGATTCTATGGTTCTCTCTCACATCACCTACTGTTTAACGTCCTGGTCACATGCCAGTACAACTACTTTAAAAACCACTGGAGTCGTTGTACAAACAAACACTCAAAATACTGGACAAGAAATCTGTTTATTCGCATTACTGCCAAATACTTAAAAAATACAACTTGTTGAGCTGGGAAAACATAATTAAACATGCAAATGCTTGCCTTTTTTACAAGATTATCCAAAGCCTTACCTCACCTCCTCTCAGACAGTTTATTATCATACGGATAACTGCACATAGATAACAAGAGGTGCAGCGAGAGGAGACTGCATTATTCCACTCAGGAAAATGTATTTCAGTCAGTCTTCATTTTCTGTTAAAGCTGCTCAGCAATTGAACTCAATCCCATCTACAATCAGAGACCAGCAGACTACATTTAGATTATTTAAGTCCCAATTCAAAACCTGGTTAGTGAGGAATCAGCTCTGCCCACACTAACACAATTGTGCACCTTACAACCTACTGTCTGTCTACACTGCCTGTGTTTTAACATGTTCTTTTTTGTTTTGTTTTATTGGTTTTGTTTTATTGTTCTGTTTAGTTTTTTTTATTAAAGGAGAGGTGTCATGGCCATTTCCACTGATCATAATTCCATTGTTGAGGTATACTAAAATAGATTTATATTGTGCATTTTTCCAAACTCACATTGGTTTCTCATACAGCATCTCTGTAAACTACTTGTATTCACTGAATTTCACTCTCTGCCTTTAACGGCTCGTTGTACCTCCCAAAGCTCCAGCCCCCACCCTCCCTGTGAGCACAGTGTGCTCTGATTGGTCGGGACGTTGTGAATCGCGCTGAGCTCCGTGGAGGTGTTGTTTCCTTGTTTAGGATACATAGCGAAACACAGCCAAACTCATCCTGAGCACACACAAACTCACAGCCGAAGTAAAAACAATAAGTGTGGCTTGATATTGAGTAAGAAAAAGGTTGATAAACGCTGTGAGAATGGGTCTGCAGAGAGAATTTCGCCACGATCCCAACTGTCTGTTATCAGCCTGCAGCCAGGGAGGAGAAATCAGCTGAGCTGCCTGCTCCCTGCACACAGATGTGTGTGTGAGGAAGTCCGTGGATTGGTCAATTTGGACCAATCAGCGGGGGCTTAACGTAACGGCTCCGTGGACGTAATGGCTCCACGGACGTAACATAACGGCTCCACGGATTGGTCCATTTCGTTCCGGGTACGGCTTGACATCATGCCGTACCCGGAAGAATCAAATGGACAATGACGTATCTCCAACGAGACGTTTTGGGGAGGTATTTTCTGTGTTAGAGGTTTACTCGCTATAGGGTGTACTTTGAGGGTTTTGACTCTGCACACCGTTTACATGCATAAAAACTTTCATAACACACAAGGGGACGGGTAATAACCGGAAAAGCATGACACCTCTCCTTTAAGATTTCCAGTACTGTATGTTGCATGTTTTTATTTGATTGTATTTACTTGTTTAAAATGAAATTTGTCTTTAGGTTGATTTACACAATCTGTCCTGGGACTACAGATGAAAATAACCTCTTGGCTAACTCTGGCACATTTACAGAAATGTTGATTAATGTGCACTGTCCTTGTTAAATAAATGAATAAATAAAATAAATAAATAGAAGAACAAGTTGAATACGAATGGAGACAGGTGGAGAGCATGAGGGGATGTAGGGATAAGGGAAGGGAGGGATGGAGGGATGTAGGGATTAGATTAGATTCAACTTTATTGTCATTGTGCAAAGTACAGGTACAAGCCAATGAAATGCAGTTGGTATCCAACCAGAAATGCAAGATGTGCTATATATAAATAAAAATAAGGTGCATATTATAAATACTGACAATACAGGGAGCATTGAATGAGGATAAAATCTACAATATACAGATGTAAGTATTGACAGAATATTAACGGAGTATTAACAAAGTGCAAGTGCAGATTGTATGTACAAACAGTGATATTATAAGAAGAATACAAAAATTGTTATATGTACAGTAACACGATTGTGCATATAACATGTCCATTAAGTACGTTTAATCAGTGCAGGTGAGTGCAGGTGAGTTCAATGATGCTAGTGAGTAATGGAGAGGAGTTCAGCAGAGCCACTTCGTGGAAGAAGCTCTTCCTGTGCCTGGAGGTATGGGAACTGAGGCATCTGTAACGCCTCCCGGATGGAAGGAAGGTGAACAGTCTGTTGTTGGGGTGGGAGGCATCCTTGATGATGTTCCTGAATTTGCCCAGACAGCGTTTGAGGAAAATGTTCTTAATGGTGGGTAACTGGGTGCCGGTGATCCGTTGGGCAGTTTTTACTACCCGTTGGAGTGATTTCTGGTCTGAGGCGGAGCAGTGCACCACACTATGATGCAGTTAGTGAGAATGCTCTTGATGGTACAACGGTAGAAGTCCACCAGGATCCTGGG